TGCTCGTGCTTAATTGCACTTCTCATTTTGACTCTAAACATTTCTTCTGAGGGTTTTTTCAGATGATTGGATAAATTCATTCTTTAGGAGAGTTTTCTACCTCTTTTTTATTTGGCTAGAGTTTTTTGAATTTTTATTGATCTTTTCATTAATATCATCTTCTATGATAGGATATTAAACGAGAGATTTTTTGGATGTAAAATTAGTGTATTCTTCAATTATTAAACTTCTTGTGTTGAAGACTGATTAGTTTATCAATTGTTGAATAATCTTAAGTATTGGTCTCATTTGATTTTGCATCAAAATTTCTCAAAATTGATTTTTCTTTAGAAATGTCTCAAATTTAATTTGTCTATTTTTTTATGGCCTTTGTATCCAAATTAGGGGTGTAACCGAGCCGAACACGAGCTGAGCCTGGATTCGTTTATATTTCGAGCTCAAAAAGGGTGTTCATGTTCGGTTCGTTTTCTTAGCTCGTTTGCTTAACGAGCCGAACACGAGCTGTTCACGAACAAAGAATCCTTTGAACAACCCTAATCATGTCGTTATAAAACAATAAGAGTTTGAGCAAGATTTAAAAATTATTATTTATATTAAAACATCATTTGAATCTAATTTAATAATTTTTATTCTATTTTCTTAATTAATATTTTAATTGATTATAAATCTTTGTAGCCTTGTAGTCAATTATATTTTTTAAAATACCACTTTTTATATATATATATATATAAACTTGATGAGTAGTATTTCGAGCCAAAACGAGCCAAACACGAACGAACACATCTTAGTTCGTGTTCGGCTCGTTAACTTATCGAACGAGATTAACGAGCCGAACACGAGCTTCTTATCGAGCCGAACACGAGCTGTTCGCTAACAACGAGCCGTTTTGACAGCCCTAATCCAAATAAATGTGAATGTGCTAAATTGTGACATACCCTTAAGCAACCTTGATAGAGTCCGAGAGAAGGGCAATTATTATTATTTTTTTAAGAACATGAAACCAAACAAACACGAATACATAAGATAAACACCTAAGATTTTAGAGGTTGGCGACCTCTTTAAAATCCTTCAATTCAAGAGCTGAAATTCTCTTCCAAGCTCTAACCTTAAGACTCAAGACCCAATCTCATGCATAATCCTAACCCTAAACTATTAAGCCATACCTACGATTTTTGAGGTAGGCAGTCTCTTCAAAATTTTACAAATCAAGAGCTTGAAATTCTCTTCCAAACTCTAATCGTAATACTCAAAATCCAATCTCATGAATAATCCTAACCTTAATCTATTAAACCATATTTATACTAAAAAATAATTAATAGTAAAGACTAAATTGCCCTAAGGCTAATTAAATGACAAATTACCCTAAGGCTAATTAAAAGACAAATTGCCCTTAGACTAGGCATCGATATAAAAATACTCCCCTCCCAAAGAGGAATCTTGTTCTTAAGGTGAATAAAACAAATTGTTGCTGGATCAAGTTCTTATGCCTTTTCGTCTTACATTGTGAGAACCTGTTATGTTCGATGCTTGCAACGGTGTTATATGGCAAATTTTTTATCACACCGAAAACATAAACCTTACTCGCTTCTCTGGAATCTCTCTATAAGCCGTTTGAAAGTTTCCCTCATACATGGCCCTTTATTTATGTCGCGGGGAGCCTCCCTCCGTACTTCCACTGTTTGAGCTTTTGGGATCATCATGGTTGTAGCGGTTCAACATAACACTCTACCTATGCCGTTCCTATTTGCCCGTTTCATTGCATTTTTATCTTCAACAAACTGTGCTAATTCTATTGTTTTCTCCAATCCTCACGATTTTATCAGACGAAGTTATAATCAAATTTTTGGCTTCAACTCTTTCTTGAAGTTGCCTTCCATGAAGAACCCTTCATGAACCCGTCCAAAAATTTGTTAGTGTAAATCTCTTTCACGAAGGGCTCAAAAACATTCCAATAAGCAATCTTTAAATTTCTCCCACAAGTGGATCGGGTAACCAACCTCCCTCCACTGAAATCAAGCTTGGACATTCCTCTGCAAACATAATTCTACCGCCATTTGCTTCTCCTTCCCATTTAGTCCATTAACTGCGAAAGATCATTCCACTCGATATACCCATCCACGTGCTTCTTTCCCCGCATCTTCAACTTCATAACCCTAGCATCTTCACTCCAACTTCCTCTTCCCCGGTGCCCCCCTCTATATATATAGAGTAAAACTCTCTCCTTCGATCATAGTCATAGCTCATTCCGGTTTCCCTCCATGCTCCTCCATACTCTTTGCATGACCTCTGCTTCATGTTTCAACCCCTTCTTTGGAAATCTCTAATTCACCCCCCCC